CTTTTCTTGATGAAATTCTCTTTATGGTGAATCGTTTTTTATTTATACGAGTATGTATTTTTTTAGCGATTTTTCTATTGTATTTCTCTTGGAAGCGTGAAGCGGTTTTATGCTTTAGTTCGTAGTTTCAGATGAACTGCAACTTGCATTTTATCAAGTGTTCCCTTTTCTTTTTATTCTTTCACATAAAGTTTCTTAAAAATAATCATGAACAATCAAATACTTCGCGACTGAACGCTTTCACTTATATTCTTAGCGCTTCATCGATATATATCCACACTCCACTTTTGTCTTTGGCAGAATCTCAGATCTACCTACTTTCAGGCTCATAATGAATGTGGATACAATGCAACCAATATCGCACCACACCCTCACCCACACCCTTACACACGCACCCTCTTCGTGGTTTATTTAATAATGTTTTGTAAGCATACAGTGAGGAATAAGCATGGTTAGTTAATGTCACAATTATTGTCTCTATTTTCGTTTACAGCAAACGATAACTCGAATGCATTTGAATTTCTTCGTACTCGTCTTTTACCATATCTATTGAAGGCATTTCTTCGTATACTAGTAGTCACACAACGGCTCTTTCTAGGTGTGAACTTTGCTTTCATTAGAAATTTAGTAGAAGAAGACGAATGTGAAGAAAGATTTGAGCTGGTATAATATCTTAATTATTTTTGCCTTTTAGATACAAACGGTTAATTTAAACACATCTCGACAAAAAATACAACAATAATTGATACTTATGTCGGAAAATCGCTTTGTAAACCGCACTCTCGCAGAGCTTCAAGAGGTCAATCGCAATCCAATATTTGGTTATGAAGATTCACCCATTCTAACATTAGAAGAATCTGTAGAAAATCTAACGCGGTTCGTTCCCGATGTCTTAGCTTATGTTATAACAGCTAAAAAGAAATATTATCGACATTCAGATTTATTAATGCAAGATGAATCGGCAGCAATATATCTTTACTCGATGCCATCATCTTTTTTTTTCTTCTCTTAACAACATACTTCGAGCTGAAAATCGACATGCACTTAAACCATGGTTTGCTTACTTAAAATTGTTGATGACAGCTCTCAAGAAATTACCATCAACTAAGACGGTTGTCTGGAGAGGCGTTTTCGGTGATGTTGGTTCAGTATTTGCTAACAATAATATCGATATTTGGTGGGGTGTAAATTCAACTTCGATGGATTTGAAAATCGTTCAACCATTTCTAGGCGAAAGTGGTACTTTGTTCGCTATTGAAGCTATATGTGGCAAAGATATCTCCCTATTTTCAGCAATTCCAGAAGAGAAAGAAGTTATTCTAATACCTGGAACTTATGTACGACTCAAAACCGAAGCACTCATTTACAGAGATTCTCTCTTCATTGTTCACTTAGATGAAGTAACTCCTCAAAGGTTAGTCTATTTGCGTACATAAATATAATCTATAATATTCATTCGGCAATGAGAATGTGTTTAATGTGATCATCCTATAAAAATTGTCTATTCTATAGATATAATGGTGTACAATGCAGCTCACACTGTCTCACATTTTATTTTGTCCGATAAATAATTTAATATCGGAACTTAAATATTGATAAGATGTACATACCATAGAAAAAACAAACAAAAGCTGATAGTAACGCGTGCATATAAGTTTGTAAATCAGAATATAGTTTCAACTAAAGCTTTTACAAATCACATACTAACTACCTATAGCAAAATCTAAAAATTATTCCATACAGTTTGCGGACAACATCTGTTTTTCGTTAATAAACTGTAGCAAAGCTAAAGGTTTGCTCAAAAAGCTTATAGAACTGCAAATAAATCCCATCATGGTACATGAAGTAATAGTTTCTCTTTTATAAATCCTTCAGTAAATTATTCGAGCTGATCAAAAATATATTAGATGAGTTTGTGTTAAATACCAATTTATGAAATATTCATTATTTTGCTAAATATTCTACATGTTTTCAATAGTGAATCACAATCTGAGTCAAACCATCTATTTGAATGGATAAAACAAGAATATAAACGAAATGGTTATATTGAACGTCTGATGAATCCAGCAAAATTCTATCCAATTGAAGAGAGTTACATTAATTTAACCATCGTCGAAACTAAAAAACAACAACAAAAAGAAAAACAACTTCGCGATGCTCCCAACAGTGATGCTATTATGGGAAGCTTTGAGGAGATTTATGGGACAAAAACTACAATAGATGCTAGATATATTTTTGAAACGTGCAAGAGTCAAGACAAAAAAGTGCTGATATTCGGGCGTGCTGGAATCGGAAAATCTACATTTTGCCGATATATTGCTTATCAATGGGCAATGGGTTTATATTGGACACATTATGAGTTATTAGTTTTGATTCCATTACGTCGCTTAACAACTAATCGATATCCTCCTTTATCAAATGGCCAGAACTATTCTTTGCTTGATCTTGTGAAAAAAGAGATTTTCTCATATAATCTATCTGAAAATGAAGACAAACTTCTGGAAAAATACGTTGATGGAAAAAGAACTCTATGGATTTTGGATGGATATGATGAAATTGTACAAAATGTGCCCTCACATTTAGAATGCTTAATCGAACAATTACTTAAAACTCCACATCATATTTTGACATCTCGTCCATATCAAAATGTATTAGCCTATCATGTACAAATGGAAATCACAGGTTTTACAGACAAAAATATCGAACAGTATGTGGAGCAATTCTTTGATCAAATAAAAGATGAATTAGATAATTCTTCGAACAAAAGTCAAAAACTATTCAGATTATTACAGACAAATCGATCTATCTGGGGTGTTGCACATATTCCAGTGAATCTCGAACTAATATGTAGTCTTTGGAGTAACGAAGATTTCATAGAAACAAAAGAATTAACAATAACATCATTGTATACAGTGATGATAGAATGGTTATGTCGACGATATTTATCAACGCCAAATAAAAAAATTCAAAATTTATCTAAAGACGACGTCAATCTACGCTGTGAAAAAGAATTAGCATTTTTAGAAAATCTAGCCTTTAATGGAATGAAGAATAACACTATAATTCTACGACCAAATCTACTGAGAAAAGCGCTAAATGAAGAAAACGTTTCTTTACATGACCATCCGCATATACTCAATATGGGAGTTCTCAAAAGTTTTAATAAACAAGGTACCGCTACTCAAATCGAAACGGATAAAGATCATTATTTTGTGCACCTGAGTTTTCAGGAATATTTTACAGCACGATATTTGATTAAAGCTCTCAAAGAGTCTTCAACTCATCAAGAAGAAATCAAATTTATTCAACGAGAAAAATATAATCAACGTTATGCATTAGTATTTACTTTCCTATCCGGTCTTTCAGATGCGGCTGATGCAAACATATGTTTAAACATCTTTTGGGGACTTATATTAACACCTCCGATGGATCTTGTTGGAATAAGACATATGCAACTTGTTATATCTTGTATTGAAGAGACATCAAACCAATCAACTATTCCTCAACACACTTTACTAGTAGAGTGGATAGCAAAATGCATCGAGCATAACATGTCCACAGAAAACCAAAATATTCGTCAGTGTCTTGCACAATCATTAAGAAGAGCACCATCGGTAATAAGCAGTCAAACAATTATAAATGCGTTTATCCATCTACTTCAAAATGATGATTCAAAGATCAGAATCGCAGTACTCTCATTTATTTCTGAAATAAACAGTTCAAATCTAGCAGTTGCACTGATTAATTTAGTGGCTGTCGCAATGAATGATAAAAATGAGATGGTCAGGTGCAATGCATATAAAGCTCTCGGAAATATGGGTGAAAGAGCAGCGACACATGAGGTGATCACCAAACTGATTAGTGCATTGGAACATGAGAGTGAATGGGTCAGATGGGATGCATGCAAAGCTCTCGGAAGTATAGGTGAAAAAGCAGCGACGAATGATGTGATTATTAAACTGGTTAGTGC